TTTTGTCTTTGCATTCTCAGAGGTTTTGTCTTTGCGTTCTCACAATATACATGTATATTCTCTAATTTTTTTTTTATAAATGATATTGTGTAATTCTTTGAGTTTCATCATTTTTTGACCAAGTTGCTCTGATTCTTCCTCACGAAAAGTTAGCATTCGGACATATATATTTTACCTTTAGGATCCCCCGTTCGATCTTAGGTTTTGTTTTCATTTTTTCTTTTAAAGGGCTGAGGTTTCATTATACTAAGAAAATAATTCTTATGGAGGTACAACCATACAGATGAACATATTCTATACTCATTAAGAAGGAAATACTGAAAAAAAAAAAACGTATTGGATAGAGTTACTACTTGCATCGGTTCACTTTTTACAGAGAAGTGAGACCTACAAATAGGAGTCTCACTTCCTAAAAAATGAGGTGCCGTGACGCATAGGCAACCCTAACAAATACTTATATGCCTAAATTTTGCAAAAGATAATATATAGTGCTATGTTATCAATAAACTTGCATCCCAATTAATTTGGGAGAAAATAAGAAATGATGTGACAAAAATGTGTGAATACATGTTACAGTTTACGGAAAGGGATCTCTTTGGATCCCTTCCACCTAATCATTTTCATCAAACAATCTGGATCCTTAAAATTTGATATAACGGCTAAAGTTATTATAACTTTTAGAGTGGACTCCTGTTTTTAACCGTTGGATCAAATTTTAAGAATCCAAATTGTTTGATAAGAAGGATTAAATGGAAATGATCCGGAGAGGATTATGTAGAAGGAATCCGAAGGATCCTTTCCGCAGTTTACAATTTCTCTCAACACTTTTCACATACACATTTTCCTAGAGCACGTACGTAGCATAATTGTCATAGTTTTAATTAGCACTTCCTCCTAATTTCGTCAAAAGAGTAAACAAAAGTTTACTTAAATTGAGGATTTCCACTTTTTATAGTCAAAACGATAGTGATGATTACGAAATTAAGGTTTCGATATCAAATATATAATAAGCCTTGACTGGTGATCAGCTGCTCACAAAGATTAATTATCTTAATTAATTAATTAATTAATTAGGGATTCTAACTAGGTAGTGGCTACAACTAATTGTTATTCTAATCTCCCTGTTTCTCTCTCTCTCTCTCTCTCTCTCTCTCTACTTGTGGTTAGATCATGCTCTTTGCACGAACATAATATTATTTTTACTTTCATTCCACCGCTTTTAAAGAACGTATATATTTTGTTGAAATTTTATAATTGGAACATTTTAATTTTTTAATTTTCATTGATAGATTATTCTTATAAAAAATTATTTGAATTGAAAATCGTTTAGGTATCTAAATGTGTCAATAAATGGACGGTTCTTCATGAGTACTTGGTACCTTCAACCTTGATGTATATGATACATTTGAATAACTAAAAGAACTCCAATTCAAACGTGTAAGAATAATCTTCTAATGAAAATTGAAAAAATTGAAAGGTCCCGATTATAACATTTCTACGAAAAAATACATTATTTGAAAGCGGTGGAATGAGCTCATTCACTCAAGAAGGAACTCAACCATTATCCTAATAGGATATAAGAAACACATATATTTGTGGGTACATTAATGTTCGAGCTAAGTGTCTATATATGTCTAGGGTTTCTCAAAGTTTATGTGGCTGCATATATTGTAATCTTCTCCACATGCCTTGGGGTAGGCCAGCTCATATATAAAGTAGTACCAAATTCAAATGGGAGTATACTTGTTATATAAACTATAGGGAAAATTTCAAGATTTCACATTCCAAGTCCAAGCCAACCGACCAATATTGTGTAGGGGCTATATGTATGTATGTATGTATGTATGTATGTATTGACCCTTAACGAGAGGGTATGTAGGTGCATCGTGCATGCCATACTGGTCCTTCCCGAGGCAGATTTATGCGATCCGTAGAAATAATATTTCCTTAGGATTAATGCAGCATTTGTTATGAATATAATTATTAATTATAAATGTGATTGTGTAAACTTAAAATATAATTTTAAGAAAATTCATTATGATTAGCATAAATAAAGCTTCAAGGAACAATAACACAATTCTCATTCACATGAGCTCTTCTCTCTTTTGATGTCTCCTCTCTCTCACCTATCTTTATAATTAGTTTCAAAACAACAATTTATTTTTGAAGTAAAATTTTAAGTAAGATTATGATATCATTTTTGTATAAAAAGTTTTAACAACCGTGTTGCCCACTAGAGCAGTTCTCTGTACAAATTGTTTGTTTTATATCACTTATTAAAGTGAATAATACAATGCAAAAATAAAAATAAAAATATTATAGTTAAAATGTGATAGTTGCATAAGGAACCGGATCCCTTTCGGATCCAACCATACTGAGTCCACCACTCAATGCATCCGGATCATTAAAATTTAATGCAACGGTTATAAACAAGAGATTCCTCAATACATTCGGATCATTGAAATTTAATCAAACGACCATAAAAAGAAGATCCCTTTAAAAATTATAATAATTATAGTCGTTTGATTAAATTTTAATGACTCAGATGCATTGATTAGTAGGTTCAGAATGATTGGATCCGGGAGGGAATCCAGTTCCGTTGCATAAAAGCATGACAAAACTTGTCCAGAAAAAAAAAAGAGCATGACAAAACAGTCAGTAGGCAATACCATTCGAGAACCTAGCTAGACCATGGTATTACGTTCCAAATCCACAGAAAATGCATCAATCAAACGATCAAAACTGACAAGACCCAGCAGCATAAAATAACCAGTACATGAACGCCACCATCTATCTTGCTAGGCACTAAACCGGTACACATATTAATTAATGGGTTATTATTTCTAGGGTTTGTAAACCATGTTTATGAAAGATAATCATCCAAATTAACGGTTAATTAAGTTCTTCAATATAATTGGATGCCAGTGGAAAACTTTGAAACCTATGCCCTGCTACGCAAAGACACGTCTTGGTTTAAGTCGCACCTTGAAAAGTGAAAACAAAAACAATCGACCCCCCTCCTCGTCCTCGTCCCCTAATTGACTGAAAACTAATAGTTAATTATTTAGGGTTCAATTCACTTGGAAGTTGGTTAATCATTCCACGACATCCATGCAACTGTGCAATGCATATTCATTGATCTTCAAGCACAAGGCATTGATCAAGATATTAATCCCAATTAATCAAGGGAAAACTCATGACTCATCACCTGGTTATACATTGTATTTCTTTGGTCACCTTGAACATGGTGCTCTTAATTAACTACTACATGACTCATCTCATTGTCCTCATTGTCCTCAAAATCTTGAAAAGTTATATATGGTTAAACATTATAAACCAATTCACGCGTTATAAGTGAAGAAAGAGATAGTTTTGTTATGTTAATTGTCACATCATTTAGTATTTGTATCATATTAAATACCAAAAAAGAAATTTAGAGAAAAGTCTAAATTTGTGATAGCATTTGTCTTTACATTATAATTGTTGTATGTACGACACTCTTTTCTCTATCCTGAAGTTTTGTCTCAAAAGGTTTTCTTTAGGGAGATTTTATCAACGAGACCCACGTAATTGTTACTTTGGTTTTTTTGGCATTGTATTTTACACATAGTTGACAATGTTGGTTTGTATTTTATTTTGCTCTGTGATAATTTTTTAAGCAGCGTGTCTTTTAAAACGGCACAGCTTCAATTTTTAATGGTCATGTTTAAGTTTTGAATAACTTTTATACTGCTTAATAAATATTATCTATCGGTGCTTAAATAAAATAATTTTTACCATAAAAATATATATGACGTGATTAATGGGGTGTAGTCAATTTGGATTTCAGAGGATTTTAATGGATTTTTTTTAGGTGACAGATTTTAAAGCATTTTAATGGACTCTACAATTCCATATAGATTTTAATAAATTTATGTGGATTTCCATTATAGAATTCTATGGATTTGTATGGATTCTTTCTTAGATTTCTTAGGATTTAAAAAAAATAGAAATCACACGCAAAGTCTTGGGATCATTTTTAATGAAATCATGTGGCTGAGATTAATCTCTCAAACTCTCTGCAATTGAAACCCTAATTGTTATGTGTATTCTACTACACCGTCTGAAATCACAGTCCTCAATCCAAGGACTAGTTAATTGCATATTTTCATACCGTAGTAATAGCACAAATTAATAACATTTAGAATGTATATGGGTTGGAGGAATTTATCTAACCCAAGCCAAAGAATGTGTTTTGAGAGTGACGTTGATTGGTTTTAATAATGAATGGTGACATTTCAAAGGCACCAAAGTAGAATTGAACACGGTGTCTTATGTAAATAAAAGTACAACATAGATAGGAAGTAGTTGAAGGGAAAGGAAGCGTGAGCAAGGGAATTTACGTGAGAAGTTTGGGCAGTCGGTGAAGAAAGAAAAAAATATGTTGGTGGTGCTGGGACATCTTCTCATGCCTGCAAAGATTTCACGTTCAGCCATGGAAGTCCAAGACAGCTGAGTTCACAATGGGTCCTCTCAAATGGAGAAGACCGTTCCTCTGGTGTGAAAAGAAATCTGAGGGGTAAGGGTTGGATTCTTGATAGCACCCTCAAATCCATTAAAATCCACCACTCATCAAAATCCTAGCAAATCCTTGGTAATTTCACTACACCTAGACATCTGCAGACTCATTTAAAATCATAATCGACTATCCCTGGATTTCGATGTATTTTTTAAAATCCTTTAAAATCTCAATTTAACTATATTATGATTTCAAAATATTTTAAAATCCATTAAAATACTATCAAATCCTAATTTGACTACACTCCTAAAAATAAAGTTACTACTGATTTCGTAAACAAATAAAATTATTACTTACCAATATAGTAATATAGGAGACGATCAAAATATATTGTTGTACCCAAAACAAGAAGGAAAAAAAAAAAAAAAAAAAAGAGACGGTCAAAATCATTTTTGGAAATTTTAGGCGGGTCCCACGTGAAAGGGAAGAAGAGCGAGTATGGCAAAATGGAATGCGAGTACGGGAGTCGCAACTCGCAACTCCGAAGCCCTAACCTTCATAGTCCGAAGCTTTCCCTACTCGCGGCCACCGATTGATCTCTCCTACTCTCCGGACCCTGGCCGATTCAGTTCGGGTAATTCCAATTCTCCTTTCCTTATTACTATCAACCCAAAGTTCAATTTTGTTTATCTATTTTTGTTATTTTTGTGATTTTTAATTTATTACTTATTAGCTCTGCACTTCAGTGATTGCTTGCAGCTTCATTTTCCTAATCTGCTTCTAATTAGTTTGAATTTTACTTTATCTTCCCTTTTTAAGCTGTTGTGAACACTTAGTTACTCTTTCTGGGTTCATTTTCGTTAATTAATGTGGAATTTCTGTTCTAATTTATGATCAGTAGTATTATTATGCTCTCTTACTTCTCACATGTAGGTTTTCTGTGTGAAAGTTTTCATTTTTTGACTGCCATTTGTTTGGTTTTTGTGTTCTTCAATTGGTTATTTGGCATTATGCTGAATTATGATGTTTTATGCTGAAATTTAGATTCTGTAATTTTTGTTTTTGTGGGTGAAGTCTTCTGCATTGTGTGTTATGTGTACTGTGAAGTAGATAAGTAGTAATTAATTAATTCTTATCTCTATAATTTTCATTTTTGTGTGTGTATCTTGGTATTTCAGTTTGTGTATGTATCTATAATTTTCATTCTCCTGTGGTACTGCAGTGAAATGTTGTTAAAGTTTTTGACTTGTGATGGTCCTGTCACTTTTGGTACTGCATCTAGTTTCCGGTTGTACTAAATATAACTCCTTCTTGCTGCTGCCCGCATATCTGAACAGGTTGGTTTAAGAAAATTTAGATTCTTTCAATGGGGATAGATCTTGAACGGCCTTCGGGAGAATGCCGTAAGGAAGGTATTAGAGACCATGCCATTGTGAAAGCAACTAATGGTCCTGCAAATGATAAGGAGGATACAGGACAAAATGAAAACAAGGCGGTTGCCAGAGACGAAATTAATTTGAATTCTACAAAAGATTTAGAACCTCATGATGGAATGGAGTTTGAATCAAAGGAAGCTGCATTTTCGTTCTATAGAGAATATGCCAAGTCTGTGGGGTTCGCTGCTGTAATAAAGGCCAGTCGTCGATCAAGAGTATCTGGAAAGTTTATTGATGCAAAATTTGCATGCACTAGACATGGGAGCAAACGAGAATCTAATACAGCTGAAGCACCAGAGTCTGTTTCAAACCCCAGAGAATCTAGTATCTGTGACTCTGTTAAGAGAAAACGAGGTCGCTCTAACCGATCTTGGGAGAAAACAGATTGTAAAGCCTCCATGCATGTTAAGAGGCAAGATGGTAGATGGATTATTCGTAGTTTCATAAAAGAGCATAATCATGAAATTTTTCCTGATGAAGCCTATTATTTTAGGGGGCATAGGGATTTAGATCTAGGTAGATGTGATGTTGATCGCTTACTTGCTATCCGGAGAAGAACAAAGAAGATGTATGTTGATATGGCCAAACAGTCCGGTGGCTTCAAGAAGTTAGATAATCAAAAAGGTGGTGGGACAAATCAATCACTGAGCAGGAAGCATTTATCTTTAGAGGAAGGAGATGCTCAAGTTATGCTTGACCATTTTCTGTATATGCAAGATGAGAATCCTAACTTCTTTTATGCAGTTGATCTGAATGAGGAGCAGCGTTTGAAGAATGTTTTCTGGGTTGATGCCAAAGGTAGACTTGATTATGGGAATTTTAGTGATGTAGTATTTCTTGATACTGCATATATCAAGAATGAATACAAATTGCCGTTTGTTCCCTTTATTGGCGTGAACCACCACTTTCAGTTCATTTTGCTTGGATGTGCTTTACTAGCTGATGAGAGCAAATCATCCTATGTCTGGCTGATACGGGCATGGCTAAAAGCAATGGGTGGACGTGCTCCAAGAGTAATACTTAGTAGCCGAGATAAAGTCCTGAAAGAAGTGATTACAGAGGTCCTTCCTGATTCTCGTCATTGTTTTTGTTTGTGGCACATATTTGGCAAGATTCCTGATAAGCTTGGTTATGTGATTAGGCAACATGAAAAATTTATGGTTAAGTTTAACAAATGCGTTTTTAAGTCTTGGACAAATGAACAGTTTGAAAAAAGATGGTGGAAAATGGTTGACAGATTCAATTTAAGGGATGACGCATGGTTTCAATCATTGTATGAGGATCGTGGACGATGGATACCAACATACATGAGAGACACTTTTCTGGCAGGTATGTCTACAACCCAGCGGTTAGAAGGTATAAATTGTTTCTTCGACAAATTCATGCAGAGGAAAACTCCGTTGAAAGAATTTTTAGAACAATACAAAACAATCCTTCGAGAGAGGTATGAAGAGGAAGTAAAAGCTGATTTTGAAACATGGCATAAGCAACCAGCATTGAGATCTCCATCACCATATGGTAAACAAATGGCAACTGTGTATACTCATGCAGTATTTAAGAAATTCCAAGTTGAGGTTTTGGGAGTAGTTGCTTGTCATCCAAAGAAAGAAACTGAAGACGGATTAATCAAAACTTTCAGAGTTCAAGATTTTGTAGAGAATCAAGATTTCATTGTGGAGTGGAACGAAACGACATCGGATGTATCCTGTTTATGCCGTTCATTTGAATTCAAAGGTTTTCTTTGTAGACATGTGTTGATTGTACTGCAAATGTCTGGTGTACACAGTATTCCATCTCAGTATATATTAAAACGTTGGACGAAAGATGCAAAGAATAGGCAAACAACCAGAGAAGGGTCTGATGCAGCCGAATCTAGAGTTCAACGTTACAATGATCTATGCCGACGAGCCTTTAAATTGAGTGATGAAGGTTCTTTATCCCAAGAAAGTTACAGTATTGCGTTTAATGCATTGGAAGAAGCTCTGAGAAGTTGTGAGAGTATAAATAACTCAATCCAGAATGTAACAGAGCCAATCTCGCCAAAGACTCATGGTCCTCAAGGTTCCGAAGGAGAGAACCAAGGCAACAACAATATCGAGACTAATAAAAAAAATGGTGCATCCAAGAAAGGACAGGTTAGTTGAACTTGTGGTGATTATTATTCTTATATTCCTGGTTGTGTTTTATTTTGGAAAATTTAAATGCTCATTTGGTTTGGTATGTCTTTTGAATTCTTTTAGGTGCATTCGGAGCCAGAGGCCATAAGCATTGGGATGCAAGAAAACTGGCAACAAGTGGTTAGTCATGCTATGTTATTGTTTAAGCCTTACCCATTTTATAGCATAAAAGGAATTTATTTATGTGGGTTCCAAACTTGTTGTCGGGGCACTTGAAATTACGAATTCCAGCCCTTGATTGTTTTTATAAATCGCAAGAGAGCATGCAAGAGAAGGTACAATATAGTTAGCAGCAATCATAATGTTTAGCAAAACACTTCTTATTCACATTGCTGTTTATTATTTCCTAAAATTTAGAGTGGCATGTTTATTCTTAGGCAGAACTCACCTCAAGAGCTCCAAACTTCGATGGTTATTATGGCAGTCAACAAATTGTTCAAGGAATGGTAAGATATTTTTCTCATCACGAAATTACAATACTGCGATTCTGTTCAAGGAAAAAGACGACTGTACAACAATTTATCCCATGCTTAAAATTGATTTGAGCTGTGTCCCTTGGATCTTCTTGTAGGGGCAGCTTAACACGATACCCTCCAGCCGTGAAGAATATCATAGCAATCAGCATATGCCAAGGCCGGTAGTGCACATTTCCTATTTGTTTAAGAAACTTAATTTTATGGATATTTTCATATAAATTTCTAATTATTTATAAAAAAGTACAGTACAACTTCTTCACTAAATCCTTCGCTTCTGCCACAGTGTCTAATAAACTCAATCGCGCCCATCCATGATTCTCACTACATGACTCAGCAAAGACTGCATGGGGTGGTACATAATTCTGTTGTTTTTTCATAAGCTCACGGATTTTTTTTTTCGTTTAATCATAAACGAAAGGAGAGTCCATTCATTTGAGGGGTGACATCATTTGTTACTGTTAGTACCATTTCTGTTTGCATTTCTTGGTATGGTAATGATACCCTGTTGTGTGTAGGCGCAGTTGCATTTCAGACCACAACCTATTCCGAGTTATTTTGACATTCAGGATGGTTTGCAAGATGTGGTATGCAAATACTAACCTAGGCTGTCTGGATTTTTTCTTGGCGTGAGATTCTTGACATCGGTTTTCATTCTTCTTCCAGGACCAGTCTACTGTGGGAACCAATCAACCACATGGCTTGTCATCAAAACATTTGCATTCTAAACACCCGTCTCATCAGTAGTGAAGCGTTAGTACCTGTCTACCAAAGGTGAGTTATAAGGGATTGACTACATGCTCCCAAACGTTTCAAAACCTTCGTTTGCCTGTATTCCATCATAGTTTTATCGATACCAACCTCGGTTCCTAGTGCAGACTTTTCTTTGATTTCTGTTTTCCAGAATCATAAGATTATAATGTAGCAAATCTATTATTTCACAGGTGAAGAATATGGGAATGAAGCAACACACTGCAGCAACTGAGAAATCCAAAATTGAAGGAATCTAACGTTGTAGATTTTGTCGGAGAACAGGGAGAGATCCGACCATGATCAGGAAGATGGAAATATCGTTGGTGTTTGTCCCAGTAGAGATGTGGAAATCCCTCAAGTCCAAGAACTAATACTATCCGATTCTTCTCTTTTTAGCTTACAGCTCTTCTGTACAGGTGATTGCCTCCTCTGTCAAATACAAATGTACAATTTTTTTAGTTAATCCAATTTCCAAGTCCAACTAATTAGCCATGTTCATATTTTCCATCCCTAAGCATTAGCACCATCTGGGGGTTTCGAGAAGTGATTTCCGCGCTTCTCCTTCCCACGCACTCCTCCCCTTTTATCCACTAGTTGACTTGAACAAATCAAAGGAGGATTGAGAGGAGTGCGTGGGAAAAAAGTGAACCGTGGAAATAATTTCCTGTTATTAAACTTGTGGAAATTTAATATCGAGAGAGGATTGATAAATTTCCAAAAAAGCTGTTGGTGTCCCCCAAGAAATATTGACTAATCTCGCGAGGAGGAGCACATCTTGATCGTCTTTTTTATTTCATTCAAGAGAAACTTTTGCGCCAAGAGCTTTCAGCTTCTCTATTAGTTGCTCTCCTTCTTCCTTTGACACTCCTGTCTTTAGCACCGACGGCGCCTTCTCCACTACATCCTTTGCTTCCTTGAGTCCCAAGTCAGTGAAGCTCCTTACCTCCTTGATCAGTTTTATTTTTGAAGCAGCCTCAAATGACTCCAATTTCAATTCGAGTAGAATCTTTTCTGTTTTCTTCTCCTCCTTAGCTGCCGTCGGTCCCTTCGTCGCCAATCCTATTCCAGCAGCTCCCGGCTTCATGACTCCTACAACTGGTGGTTCCGTCATTCCATTTTTTCTCATCAAAATGGAACCCAGCTCAGCAACTTCCACCAGTGTGAGTGATGATATTTCATCTACGAGCCTAAAAACCCGATCAGTTGGAGGACCACGATGCTCTGTGGATCAAATGTTGCTGGATCATAATCAGCAGGGAGTCTCCTTTGGTCAATCTCCACCTCTTCCTCCTCTTCCTCTTCTTGCCTTGCAGGTTGACCAAAGTTCCGACAAAACCCATTTAAGCTACCAGGATTCGGTGCTCCAAGGGAAGAAATAAGGGCAAATCCCTTTAGGCAAATGATTCCGTAATCTTAAGATCAAACTCATCTTTTCAAGGTTTGCACATGAGTCGGTTCTCTAACAAATGGAAATCAACCTATGACAAACCCATTCACTTCTCGCAATCGCCTATTCGGATCCGGAATCCACCCAAAACCTGTCAGATGCATTTGCTAAGGTTAATAGAGTTTCTAATGCTAAAAGAATCGAACGTTAAAGCTAACAAAACAGGCTTGAATCAATACACTCTCAGAAACAAACAGAACTATCCTTCTTCTACTTGCACATCATTTCCCCTTGAAAAAATTTATCTCCGCCAACTCGTTGTAAATTTCTATCATTGGGAGGTAATGATATCCAAAATGTTTGTCTTCAACATCTTCTCATTAAAAATCAACAAATAACTAAAAAGGGGAGGGGAAATGCTTGGTTTTTGAGGATTCCGAGATTGGTTTTGTGTATTTCGGGAATGTCTTAACCACAAGATTCAGACTTTTGCCTTCAACAATCAAAAGCAGAACAGACAGGAAGCAAGAAATCATTAAAGTTTGGGACTTTTGATTGAAATTTTCTGAGCAACCAAACAGAAGGTAAATTTATGAAACTAACAAACAAAGAAGAGCCCATTTCCGGAGCCTGATGGAAACTCAATTAGGCAATCACATGAAACCATTTCTGTTCACAAGTCCAAAATTAATCATTACAGAGAGGGAGGAGAGGGGAGAGAGAGGGGAGAGAGAGGAGAGAGAGAGTACCTTACGAGTTCGGAGCTCGTGTAAGCTTGAGGTAGAACCCTAGAGAGACTGAGCGAGGAACAAGGGTTTTTGTATATGTTTTTTTAAAGGAAAAGAAAAATGCTAAAATACATGGAGAAAAGCCATTTACCCGGATAAAAATCCCTGGTTTAAATAGGCACGTAAGACCCGACCCAAGAGTAGACACGTGCCCCCTATTCAGTCTCATTTTTCCTCAATAGGTTAAATCGTTTCTATGACACGATCCATGACCCACATTTAATTCTCTTCTCATGTTCTTGCTTCAAATCTGTTTTCGATTGCAACTGGTACTTTACCGTGAAAAAGAGTTTAACCATTACATGACAGCGTAAGTTCAAATCACGTCGGTGATTAATCTAACAACAAATGATTCAGTAGAATAACCGTACGATGCTTCATGATTCTCATCATTTTCTTGCCCATCATTTTCGAATGATTAAGTGGCTGGACGGAGATGGTTTTAACCGGACGATAAGCTTGTCGGACTAGCTGGAGAAAAAAAAAAAAAAAAAGCATTGCAACCTGCAGGTTTCTTCCATTCCATGGGTGCATTACATTATTAGTTACAATCGTTGCGCGTTAGAGTGAATATTGGCCGACTATCTTGACTTTTTGATAAACATTTGTTATGCTAGATATCCCACATTGGAAATTCATAGGATGATACAAATGCTTATAAGGACTTAAACTGGATTTAGTAATTGCCGAACCTTATAGCGTGGACTTGTTGTAACTTGTAACTGAGTAGACAATAAAGTTGATTGGCACCAAATGTTTATAAACTCTGCCATTGTCGAGCCTAATATTATAACTAAGCAGAACATTAAAATGATTAGTTATGTGAAGAATAAGCCTGATTTATAACTACGCAGAACATTAAAATGATGTAGTTGTTGAAAAATAAGTCTGCCATTGCCGAGCCTAATATTATAACTAAGCAGAACATTAAAATGATTGGTTGTGTGAAGAATTGCAAAACACATATTGATAGAATTGAAGCATGACCAAAATATATGTATCCCAAATACCTTCACTTTATACACTGCAAATCACCCACTAATCTTATCACAAACAGTCAAATATATAGGACCTAACTCACACTCTAGTTTTTCAGTAAAATACAGCCGCACAGCAAGGGAAAAATACCGATTCTGTCAACTGATTAGAATGTAATCTCGCAAGGGGCATGGAAGGTTCTTCCGCGGCAAATAGCTTCGAGGTTTTCTCCAACGTATGAACAAAGAGGTGAAACCTCTACACCTGCATTCAACATCAATTGTGTCAATGCAACTTTCCCTTATTCTTTTTGTTTCCTTCCCCTACGTTTATGCACATACTAGAATGCAAATCAAAGCAAAGTGCATGAACTACCAGTTGCATATAGAGGCACTGAATGTGTTAAGAATCCGCCAGCGGCAACTACCCAACGAGTGTGAAGTCGGAGAACAAGAAGCCTAGCACTATCTGGAGTGTCAAAATTTGACCCGTTTGCATTTTTTACTGGTGCAAACTCTTCTTCACGCAATACCTGAATATTTGGCAAACAAATGCAATCCTTAGCACCGCAACATCAAGAAAAAAAATAGTTGGGATTAGGGTAAAAGTAGGGGGTAATGATGTTACCTCAAAAAGCGCAGTTGAGGGAGCGTAGGGAAATGCATCAAATATGAATTGCTCTAGTTTGAATCCCATTGACTGTCCATGGATCGAAGGAATTTTCTTCTCAGCAAGATGGTAACTGCATTCATGTGTTTACAATATTATTGTTAGAATAGCGAAAACTATCTATGAGAAATTCCAAACGCAAGGCAATTAGAGAGATCAAGACAGACTGACATGCTATCCTTCTCAAGGCCATTTGCCACTTGGTTTAGAAAATCCAGGGTAAACATGTGCAAACACACCTGAAAAACGCAAGGTGGCAAGAAGCTGTCATAACTTGAAACTATAAGCTAAAGGGACATGAATTTTCCTCTTCAGGCAATTGGACCTCAATCCACTAAAGAAAGCATAGAACTTACAAGACAGTATTTATTTCAATAGAAAGAAATAGTAGATCAGAGGTAACAATAAGCATTACATTACTCCAACAAAAACGAAGACGTCCAGTTTCTTGATTGATTGCAGATGCCAGAGATGAGTCCATCTCACTGTATTCAACCACAGTTAGAGGTCCCCCTTTTCCTCGACGTACAAACACACCAACCTTTTCTTGTGGGTATGCCTGTAACCAGAAACCCCAAATAACTCAAAATGTGATGTCATAATAGTTCTAAAATTCAATATGTATGGAATGATACAAACTTTCAGAACTCATGTGTAAAACTCATATATCAGTAAAATAGTTATGCAGAAAAAAGTATATTCTTCCAAAAAGATGAAGAAGCAAAAGTAAATATGTGTGTATGTGTCACAGAGAGAGAGAGAGAGAGAGAGAGAGAGAGAGAGAGAGAGAGAGAGAGAGAAAGAGAGAGAGAAATTCTTGGCACTTACCTTACGAACAACTTTTGCAGCAGCTGAAACACCTTTATCAATGAAATATCCCAAGAATGTTGGATCAGCTACACGAACCTGCTTTCAATAACCTAATCATTATACCTCTAAAATAAGAAAAACTCCCAACTCTTTTTTTTTTTAAAGAACAATTTTACACTCCAGTTGATTTAGCTTTTGGTGGAAAAGAGACAAAGAATTTTTATTCTCTCTTTGTTTGTTTAATGTAGATCCAAAAAAATTCGAAATCACATCTCGGTAGGTTTGGTTCCTTTATCCAACTCCCTACTATGCATCATCTATTTCAGTGGACACTTTAGGCGGGACTGAGAGGAGAAAAAGATGAGTATTTTCTTCCTTGACCGACCAAATAATGGAAGAGAAGGAAGACGCCATTCAGAAAGGAAGAAATCTCACCAGTGTATTGTCAACTCCATAGCAATCCACATATTTAATTCCTCTTGTAGCCATATCTTCTAATAATCTTGATGATTTTAAAGCTGATAAAATATACGGGCCCAATTCATTAAGGAATGTCTTATCGGCAGTTAAGGAAAATTGAGGAAATTAAGCTCAGCAATAGTAGTTGACATGTTGAACCAAATCTTATGGGAAAATACCTGAATATACTCCTCCATTCCCATCCGGAGCCTTAGCTACCTGACTTAGAAGAATAAACTGGTGTTAATCATAGGCCTTTTTTTTTGCAGGTGGCAGTATATCACAATCTTTTATGCTTGGTCTATTCCAAGCATACCTAAGGTAAGTAAGTGATTCTAAAAAGCCTTAAAAAAAGGAGGTAAAACAAAATGAGGTTTCCGAACAAACGACAGTT